TCTCAGTAGTGCTGAATTATATGATCCAACAACAGGTAGTTGGACAACTACAGGAAGCATGAATGTTGCACGAGAAAATCACACAGCATCCATATTAGGAAATGGAACAGTATTGATTACTGGTGGATATAATACTAGTCCTCTCAATAGTGTCGAATTATATGATCCAATAACAGGTAGTTGGACAAGTACAGGAAACATGAATTTTGCACGAGAATATCATACAGCATCCATATTAGCAAATGGAAAAGTATTAGTTACTGGTGGATATAATGGCAGTAATAGTCTTAATAGTGCTGAACTGTATTGATCGAAATCGACAGAATACTATCTTCGTTTGTAGACAGAATCATAAATTTTAATGTTGTAAGCAAACTATTTAATCTTGAATGCTTTTATAAAATTATTATTAACTAAATAAAATTTGAGTCTTAATTATATTACGAAATGCGATTTGAATGGTGATTGTCAAGAAAGAAACACTTCCTAAAGTAAAGATGAATATAGATGTGTCAGAGATTTCCATGGTTACCATTTAAATGATCAATACAAATGTTAAACAGTCAGTACTGAAACCAAATGGAATTATAGTTTCAAAAAGATCTCTAAGTATATTATGAAAATAATGTATAGATTTGTCGCACTGATACACTTTGTTTGATAAGACACTGAAATAATTCGAGAACTTTACTTGTCTATTTCTTTTCTAGATTATTATATGAAATCATTGAGGATATTTTGTCGTTCGTTGTTCGTCTTTGTCTTCACTATCCAAATCAATGGATATTGGTCCTGATCTTGACTAACAGATTCTATTCGAAAAGCAACATCGACATCAAACTGTAACAAATTATTTCATATTTTTACAAGAAAATCAAATACACATAGTAGAAAACTAATATTCATTTTGCATTCTATAGAATTAAATCAAAAGTTTTCTTTATACTTATTATAGTCGATAGAATCTAAAGAAAAACTAAGGAAACACATTATTTCTATCATTCATATCATCAATGAATATCCTCATTGATCACTAATCTCTCATAAATCGATCTACATCATTTAAAATATGTAACATTATATAGTAAAGAAACATTTTTTGTTTATTTCAATAAAAGTAAATTATGAGAGAGCGATCTATTCTTTCAAGAACATTCTTTATGTTATTTCTTTCTTTATAACTTTTAGAAATATTTTCATCAAAGTCATACATTTTGCAATCAATAAAAATGGATACATTAGAAGGCAAGAAAGAGAGACAGAGAGAAATATATGAGACTCTTTCAATATTGGAAAAATGTTATAGAGTTAGAACAACATTTTACTTCTATTTATTCAAGAAAATCTTAAAAGAAATCATTTTATAATAAACAAATAAAAAATCGAGCAAAAAAGAATAAATTTTTGTTGTATCATAGAGTATTTTCTCGAATATTATACTTTGTGAAAAGACATTCAAAATGTAGTACTTGTTCATGATATCAACTACGGATATAATAAACATTTTATCGTATCAGTGAAGTGGAAACAAAATAATAGACATAATAAATTAATCAAGTAAAAAAAAGTATATGAATATCATTATAATAAATTTTTCTTGTTCAAATACAGTAGTAATGAAAATAAATGAAATGACATTTTTTATTTAGAATATACAAAAAAAGTTTTATAAGAGTTTGAAAATTTAATATAAATTATCTAATTGTTTCAATATTGAAAAGGCTTTTTCTTAATCTTTTTCCAATATCATAATATATCTGATTATTATTCAGAATCAATAACACTATTCCAATATGTAACATTCACTTCAAATAGATAAATGTTGTTTCTTTTTTTTAATTTCTTCGTAATATTTGCAGCCATTTTATTAATAAATAGAAATAGTTTACTTTTTCAAATAAATTACTCTGTGAACCGATATTTAATTTTGATGAACTAGTTTACTTTCTCTCTTTCTTTAAATAGTGTTATAATGAGAAATCTTTTCAGGTATATCTAATGAAATAATAGTTTTTTCTATTTCTTTCTCATCATTTTACTCAAAAATTGTTTCTATTTGATATTTGATATTTGGTTTTGTTCTAATAACGTTAGAAGAATAAGTGAATGATTATTCGAAAGAGATTGATAATATATTCATTGATTAAAGATGTTCTTATATTTTCTATCCTCCGATTGTTAAAATCAAAAATTGTAATATGTATTTGTTCGCATTTGTGAATTTTGATGTGGCATAATGAAAATATATTAATTTAGAAGTACAATGATGGGTGTATATCAAATTTTTTATCATATAAATGAACACAATGACACATTGAAAATGTCTATGTTGATTAACATTATTCATTTAATAGTTTATATTAATTTCTTTTCTATCAAAATGTTCAAGAAAATGATTCAAATTTTTTAGTATTTTTCTTCCCAGCTGGTCCCATATGAAATTTAATGATTGCCACATTATATAATGTTAAATTCATTTCTTTTGTTTCATTGTTGTTTATAGATAAATCCGTTCTTTTTTGTGGCTTAAGCAATTTTAAAAACTCGTCAACTTTGAAATTAATTTTAGCTTTACCATTTTAATTTCCAGTTTTAGGGTACATTGCAACTAAATTCCTACCACTTTGTACATGAGTATTTTACTTCCCTTATCATTCTTCCTTTCCACAAAAAAAGGTGAAGATGCACTAGTATTATTCATCATATGTTATTAAAACATTTTATCCACAACGATTTGTCCGCAACCTCAGCTACCATAATTGTGTCCGAAACATCTTCTTTGATGCATGTTTTAAGAATACTACAGTATAACGATTTACAGTTTATCATGCGTATTTACTTTATTGTGTATTTTGGAAGTTGGAAAAAACCAACTGATAAGAGTTAATAAAGTAAATGATTTTCTATTTGTCTAAACTTTTTTCTGCGAAATGAACGATGTTAGATGAGTTTTTCTTGCATACAGCGCTATCTGTTCTATCAGCCATTTTATAATACTTATATTGACGTGGATAATGCAGTATGGAAAACGATTATGTGTGCATTGCATAGTTTATCAATTAGAGTATTGAGTTCTTTAACGGAGGCTGATGTTTGAGATTGTTTGTTAAAAAAGGCAATTTTTAACGCATGACTTTGCTTTCTCATAGTATGAGAAATAAAAAATACTAATTATCTTTTCTTTTATATTTTCAGCTTCTCTTCATAGCCAATTAGTATTGCTATACTGTTTCTACAAGAAATTATTAGAGAGAAGTAATTTCTCGTGACGTACATTTAATAGAAAGCGTGCGCATTGTCAGGATTTGTTGGTGTTTAAATGAAACAAACTTGAAGTGTTTCTATATTCTTTTTTCTTTCTAACTTTTCTATAATTTTTTCTCGCATCGTATAAAGCAAGCTGGCCGGTGAGATATTTGCATAAATAACTATTGTTGGCAACTCCGTCAGTTCGATAAGTATATAAGCATTTCTATTCTTGCATCAAGTTGTGATTTTGTTTCTTACAAACAGATCAATCAAGTAAAACTCAACACCCATGTGTTTTTCGTTAAAGGCCCAAGCTCGTTGGTGCATGTTGGTATTAGTATTCCTGTGTTCCACCAAAGGTAAGAATTATTGTATGCTATCTATCGAACATGATATCGACTTTCTCAAGCATTTCTGACAAACTGAGCGCTCGATCAGAGCTGAAGAAATATAAATTGTCTTCTGTATGATTACGCGCACTTCGAATATATTTTCCAGTTACAATTTCATCCTCAAATAATGGTTATTGACGCTTGAGGGTGTGGGTATGGGTGCGAAGCTAAAAGTAAACTGATACCCATACCCACACCCTGACAAATAACTTATGTATGGCCCCTTTTTTAGCGGATATTACCCTCTTTGCCCGACATCCCTCTTGTTGTGAAAACTCTTCAACTGCCTAAAAGCCCATTGAACAGTAGTAAGAAAACACAATTTATACACCTATTTCAAACTATTTTGCACTATCAAGACCATCGCAGTTGTTCATTTCATTTCTCTCATTCCAATTATGTAATAAGATGCAATCTGACAACAGCATTTCTTTGACATGACTTTCACTTCTCTCTGGCATTCTCTTATGAATTTTCATTTAGGCAATATTCGTTTAAAACATAGCACGATTACTCGAAATGCTGACTATCAAGTTAGCAACCAGGCACTCAAGATCTATGATGTTGATGGCGTGTCAACTCTTATTCAATGTGCTGTGCAATGTATGAACAATGATATTTGTTTGACAGCGTCGTATATCAAGCTGCAAAAGCGATGCTCTCTCTATTCCGAATTATCAACAATGGGAATCATAGCACCCTCTTCAGCTGACTCTACAGTTATCTCCTTTCCAAATACAGGTAAGATGAGCTAATTAGAAGAAATCAGTCGTTTTACACTGTGTTTTCTTGTAATCAAATTCTACGGTCACTATAGATCTTATTAGAATGATATTTTGATTTTAAGATTATGTATGAAAGGCATAATATAATACGAAATTCAACATAAAACATTTAGATTTTGGTCCTCTTCTTGATTTACTGCAATCATTTAAATAAATATTCGAATTTCCTCAAAAAGATCCATGTACTATAGTGAGAAAAAGGAAAAATATTAGATTTATTTTTTCACATATCTTTGAGAGGATCAGGAATAGAATCTAAATAAAATGAAAATTCGTAAAAACAATTCGAAAGATAAATAAATTCGCTCAGTTTTTGGTGCTTACTCCATATATTATGTTTGTTTGAAGTTAAATCGGAACTATTTTGGTCCAAAGTCATCGAAGGTTACTGCGAACTTTGGTCCATACACTTCCCTTCGTTTATTTTTGTTTCTGTTATCAGACTTTTTTTATGTACTAATCTACTACATATAGGAAGAAAGTCCAGAACACGTTGCATCTTGTGATATATTTACGGCGAACAACGCATACAGTTTGAAATATGTGTAATGATCTAAAAAAATGTGATATGGTTTCCACTGCAATATATACATCAATTTTTTGAAAAAACTTAGTTAAACACTCTGGAAAAGCTTGTCAAAAAATCTGAAATATACGATTCGATGTGAATTCATCTACTCTTTCGAACAGTGAAAACCATAGATCGATCTTATTCTTGTCAAAATTTATTCACAAAATCATAGATATAGATATATACTGTAGTGAAAACAAAATATCAAATGGTTCTTAGTACATTTTTCATACTTCAGACTGCATTGGCTGTTCAACGTATCTATACCACAAGATGCTAAGCGTTTCGGACTTTCTTCCTATATATAACAGATTAATCAATAAATGAAATCTGATAACAGAAACAAAAAAAAGGGAGGAATATCAATTGAGGCTCATAGTATGTCGAGAGAATGACGAAAACATAAAGATCAGAAACTAACCCAAATCCTACCTTCCGAAACGCAAATAGTCACGATCAAAATTCCAAAAAACCAAGAGCTTTAGTGCTGATATATATATCCACTATGAATTTCATCCATTCATATTGTCGCGTGACTTTTATCATTTATACTACAGAGATCAACAGTAATTGGCATAATTGCTGAATGGAAGACTCCATAAAATTAACATCCTTTTTACTATCATATAAATCATAAAAGCGAATGTATACAAAGGGAGATATCTTAAATATCTCTTTTTATATGTTAAACACATTATAAACAGAAAATACTAATGACTCTACATGTTAGTATTATTCGTTTATCTTTTACGATTGATAGTTGTTGATGAGTCTGTATTACTGAACATCGCAAACGAAGCATGTGCGCGTGCCATCTGAAATACGACAGTTGAGAGTGACAGCTTATTGTCTACAGCATCTTTCAATGACAACAGTTCTTTTCAGATGGAGATTTTTTAAGGACTGTCATAATTGCATCTGTAACTAAACCTATAATGTTTTCATAATCGTGTCCAAATACATTAATTATGCAACTTTCCAGAGAAAAGAATGATAAAACTGCGTATGATTTGTTTCTTCCACAATTCAAACTACTCACTCACATTAAGATCACATTCGATTTTCTTTTGTTTATGCTCTGTTTTTATATCGCAGCACCACCAACAACAACAACAACTACATCAACATCAACAACAACGACAACAACAACAGCAGCATTAAAGAGTATGTATTTATAATTTATGAAGTGTCGCAAAAGCCATGATTACTTTATAAATGCATTCAGTTACGCAACTGCTCAAGCTTAATCCCAAACTTTCTTTTTTGTTTTAACAGAGAAAACTAGTAAGTTTTTGTCCTTGAAGGGATAGATCACTGACACCGAAGAGAAGGTAAGATCTTCAATTAAACTATGCAAGTTAAGCTATTATTATGGTAAATACAATATACAGTGTTTTTTGCATATTTATTCGAATTTCTATCGTTATAATGTGTGAGAGCTCATTAAGAGATCTTTGATTTGCCTTACAATCATTTGTATGGAATATTTAACAAAACATTTTTTTTTCAAAAACCTGACGTTAGATTTCGATTCTCCACTCACGAAAACTTTTGATCCAACTTTCTTTGGAAGCTGTTGCTGAGTTTTTACTGATTTAGCACATACTGAATTTTGATTGACTTAAACAGACAAAATAACTTTAAGCATTTTTAGCTGGCATATTTAAACGCTGTATAATCCTTTCTTTCAAAAAACAGAATAATAGAGTCGACTTGAACACACTTCTGAAAATGTTATTTTTGCATGGGTTGGCGTCCCCTAGGCTCCTCTTTCGATTGATGAAAACCACAAGTCTCTATCTGCCTTACTTAAAAATCTATAAGCATTTTGCTCAATGCTCTTCTTTTAAAATTCCTATAATAACTATATAACTGACTTTCAATCGACCAAAAAGCAAACAAATTCTATTGCAAATTAGTTCCAACTTGCATCTCATTGGTGTCTTCAGTAAAAAGAATTCATGTTCCAACTTTGTCTCGAGCGAATGTACGAAATAAGAGTTAAAGTGAGAAGGAAACAAAAGAAGACTTGTAGTTTGTAAACGAGACCGGATCAAGAACCACAGATTATTTTGTCATGGTGTTCATGATTATCTATTAAACTTGACTGACGTTTTAACCTCACACAACCAAATAAACAATAAAATCAATACAAGAAAAGTGCACGGCAGACTTTCTCTTTTCTACTCTGCTGTTTTTTATTCATACCACTCTATACAGACACCATCTATATTCACTTGACCTTGGATTAAACAAATTATTATAACATATTTGAATAGTTTTGCTCCTTGTTTTATTAAAAAATTCGACAGATTTATGGGCCAGTTGGTATTTTGATTTCTAAGTTTTTCAATGATCAGCTAAAACCTTGCATGAAAATATGAGAACTTTCCTAACAACACCGTTTCATACACTGAATTATTTGACGTGAGTTTGTTTTGATTAAATTTGCACAGATTATCTGAAAACTCAGCCGGTCTGCATGCATTGGGATCTATTCCAAAAAGTTATCCCATCTATCTCTGAAGTCAATATTATAATACATAAATTGCAAACTTTCAAAAACCCTCGTAGACTTATTATGAGTTACTCGAATAGAGCTAAAGAATGTCCTAGTTGACTCTTATGAGTGTCATATCTTCTTTAACTCACTCTTTCTAACTAGTTAAGAAAAGAATCTAGGGTATTCGGGGAAAGTGAATCTGTTGTCCTGTATATAGCTGATATAGTTCAGAATATGTGAACTAAGTTGAATTTGATCGCAAGAACATTAAATACGACAACATCACACCAACGAAAGAAAGAATGAATATTGATTGAAGTACGTTGACTAAGGAGAAAATTTTCGAGTGAAACGAACGGAAATCAGATAAACTCGCTGGGTTTTCATTATACGAGAAGACTGAACCAAAAGACGTATAGGAGAAGAGAAAAGCAATCGTAATTACATTCTTGAGTATTGAAAATTGACCAAAATGAGTTTAGATAATGCTGTCCACAGCTTTGATACCAGCCGAAATGAATGCTTAAAAATTCTAAAAACTGCGAGGAAGAGATGCTGTTTCTATCTCACTACAGATAAAAAAATGTTTTTTGTATATGATAGGTTGCTTTTTGAATCAAATTACGTACTCAACCGATAGTGGACCATACTCAGTAACAGTAGTCGATGTGAATAATGACAGCAAACCCGATATTGTTGTCCCAAACGAGTATTCAGCCACCGTCGGTGTTCTTCTCAACAAAGGCAATGGTACGTTTCTGAATCAAACTACTTACCCAACTGGCAGTTGGCCATGCACATTAGCAGTAGTCGATATGAATAGTGACAATAAACCCGATATTGTTGTCCCAAACTACTGGTCATACAACATTGGTGTTCTCCTTAACACAGGCAATGGGACGTTTCTTCCTCAAACTACTTACTCAACTGGTACTAATCCAACCTCAGTCGCAGTAGCTGATATGAATGGTGACAATAAACCCGATATTGTTTACTCAAACTACAATTCGGACGGTGTGGGTGTTCTCCTCAACAAAGGCAATGGCACGTTTCTCAATCAAACGACTTATCCAACCGGCAGTGAGTCATACTCAGTCGTCGTAGTCGATGTGAATGGTGACAACAAACCCGATATTATTGTCGCAAACTACGATTTGAACAACGTCGGTGTTCTCCTCAACAAAGGCAATGGCACGTTTCTCAATCAAATTACTTACCCAACTGGCACTAATCCAGACTCAGTCGCAGTAGTGGATATGAATAGTGACAACAAACCGGATATTGTTGTCGCAAACGGTGGTTCGAACAACGTCGGTGTTTTCCTCAACAAAGGCAATGGCACGTTTCTCAATCAAATTACTTACTCAACTGGCACTAGTCCAAACTCAGTCGCAGTAGTGGACGTAAATGGTGACAACAAATCGGATATTGTTGTCGCAAACCGACATTCGAACAACGTCGGTGTTTTCCTCAACAAAGGTAATGGCACGTTTCTGAATCAAACTACTTACTCAACTGACAGTGGTCCAGGCTCACTTACAGTAGTCGATGTAAATGGTGACAACAAACCGGATATTGTTGTCGCAAACCGAGATTCGAACAACGTCGGTGTTCTCTTTAACTGTTGAAACTTATTCATGAACTAGACTCTTTTTATTCACTAACATTTCACTATTAGATTGGTGTTAGCAGTAACAGTTATTACTAAGTTACCGCCAACTTATTTGGTCACGGCTCATGATCAAGCTTCTACATACCCCCTCTTCTTAGTGTCTTCGTAGTTTTCACACACCAGCTTCTTTTCGTTCTGCTCTTTTCTCTCTCCCGCTATATATTTTTTCCCACTTTTGTTTTCTCTCTAGTTTATTTTTCATTCAGTTGATCTTTTGCTCTAGTTTGTATTACTTGCTTTGCCTTGTTTCTCTCACATCCTTAGTTTTCGTCCCTCGCCACTATTATTGTTTTTCTCTTTTGCTTTTGTTTATTTTCTTTCCATAAAATAAACAACCTATATCCCAGCCTACATTCCTATTTCATCCCTATCCACTCATCATTTTGGCCATTTTAACGTAAGATTGATTTACCTTTTTTGATTCCTTTTGCGCTGTATGTATATACACATATATAGTACCTAACCATCGATGAGGTTACTTCTTTGGATCAGTGCTTACTACGGATAGATAACTGTGTTTAATCAATACTACGAATTTCAACAATATTTAGTCACTATGTACTCCTAACATAATATGTGATAATACAGACAAATGCAGCTTCTTAAATTTTTCCTTTTTTTCATGTACCCAAACTGCAATAAACATATTCAACTATCATCTCGATCGACAAGACATGAAATAAGATCAAAAGAGGGTGTAGTGTGAGTGTAGGTATTATATATTGCTATTATGCCCATACTCACACCCACAATAAAATTCTTCTTCTTATTCTTGTGGAACATACCGAACTACTAACGCGAAAGAATCTGGAATAAATTTTGGTTTTGAAACGACCATATCTATTCCACTAATCGTTGCCAGCCGTTTGCCAGTCGCAACGAGAGTGGCATAGTCTTCTTTATTATTAATAACATGCGCATGTCTTTATTCAAATGTATAATTATTTATTTTAGTCATCGACCATTTCTGTATCCCGTCTGAATGTTTATTATTTGATTGATCACATGTGTATATAAATAGTGCATAAATATATTATTCATGTCAATAACATCTTTTCCACTTAGCAAATCGTATAATTCATCTCTAATCCATCAAATACTATGTCAACATTTATAGATAAATGTGATAATAAGGACAAAATTGACAACGTAAAATTTGAACCAATGGATATAAAAGAAATAGCCTCATCTATAACTATAAAGGAACAAGATAACGAAAATAAATTGCAAGTAAGATTGTACTTCTTAACATTAAAGTATGATTTTATTTTTGCTATTCTTAGATATTAAATTTAATAATTGAACGAGAAACTGACGAAAATAAAATCACACAATTATATATTGAACGAATCGCTATATTATTTCATATGGATAAATGGCACGGTAAATAATAATTATAAAGCTGATAATTCCCTAGTCGATGATTTCTGAAGTAGTATTCTATGAAATTCCGGCGAAACTCACAGTGTTCGACGGGAACCCTGGCGGATAATGTCAAGAATTCTAATCTGAAATCGCTTCCGAGTAGACCCGAACGGATCCGTTCAACGGGATTAGTGCTTTTATGATATCTCCGGAATACCACGGAGCTGGCCGTTTCCGTGCCGTATTGTTCGACTTGGATTGTTTATCTTTATATGTCCTTTTGAATGTCTTAGTTGATATAGATTATCTAGAAAAGAAAAATCTACTTGATAATGATTTGTTACTTATTAAACGGTATGTTAAATTTGTTTTAATATAATAGATTTATATTAAGTATATCATTCACTTTAATAAAGGAAGTCAATGGTCCAATATGAAATGGAAAAAATTAGTTCTCTAATGAAAACTCAAGTTGGCATCAAACGTAAAAAAACTATTTTACATAAGATATATTAAAGTTTTTTATTTTTTTAAACAGTTTCGGATAACATTGAATACGTAAACCTATATACCAATATCAACAAAGAAAATATTGATGAAATGTTAAGTAGTAAGTGAAAAATAGTATTTGAATTGATTATTTATTTAATGTTATATTCCTTTTAGAAAAACCTTTAAAAAACCATGGAGGTTCAAAAAAAACAATATAATATGTAATATATTACTTGGACTAATATATCTAAAATAATTTTTTTTGTTTTATAAATTAGTTATTCTCTTCAGAGTTTTTGATTGTTTAAATGTTTGTTCTCTTTCGATACTGACAACTCAAATGTCCGCCTCATTTGCTCAGACTATTGAAAGCGGGGAGGGGGAGGAGTGTCAACTGGAAGAAGTAACGTGGACTGATAGAAACCGAGTTTTTGAATAATGCATTTTTATGGGTATCCAAATGTTCCCCTTCTTGTAGTGCAGAGTGTGGCGATCATTAACTGTTGGCTTTCTTGCGTATAAGATTACTAATACTTCACTTATTCGTTAAATGCTAGTTCGACTAGCCACTGATGTCGACTGCTCAAGTATGTTTTGATGTGCGTTTATCTCTAAGTAGGATGCGAGTATGTGCTAGAAGTAAGGGACAGCAAAGGAGAGCAAGTCTTTCAATTGGTTTTCCAGTAGATGCGAATTGAATGTATTTCTATGAGAAAGGGCTAAGCGAGTCCCAGGACGAGCGTTACTTGTGTCGATAACATATTTCTTGAGGGTGTGGATGTGGGTGAGTATTATATTTTTCTTTTTTACCTACATCCACCCATCCGTTTCTAAAAGTATTGCTATTATTTTAAATAGAGTATATAATGTGACACAAACGTCACTTTACTCCAAAAACAAATTCAATATCTTCAATACGATCCGATCAAACAACTAATCTTTTTATTAATGAGGGTG